CTTCTTTTTCAAAGTTTCAGTTGGCTATAATGGAAGTCTTTAGCCTTTAGCTTTCTGATAGAAAGGGATCACCTCTAATTTGCAAGTACATTTTATTGAACTTTACAGTATGTTCAGAACACTTCTGCAAACACAGCCTGTGCACTAGTCACACTGCACAGTGAAAAAGGGCTTAATGGCTCTTCTGAAAGCAAAGGGTTGTATTTGGAACCCACATCTGGGCAAGAGCCTTGCTCAAACCCCAGGACTGCTCCCCTTCAACAACTGCACACCAGCCAAGCAATCCCAAATTGCAATCTGAGCTCCCCATCGCTTTCTCAACCACAGTACATGGAAGTGCATCCATGCAATGTCTACCCCATGGTGCCAGCTCTCTCTTCCCCAGGGAAGGGAAGGAACCCTTGCTTAGCCAACATATGTGGACTTAATGGCTAAATGATCTCTTTGGATCTCGCCACCAGCAAGGTGTTTGGGGACAAGTGTATCGTGCTCTCTCATGGGAAACTGATGGAGACACACCTCCTACACACCTGTGTGTAGGCTACTGGGCAGAAGCTGCCAGTTCTGCCGGCAAGGAGTGTCCCAGACACGCCATCAAGCCAAGCCTGTCCGACTTTGGCTTCAGCGGGGTAGCGGGGGCTGGGACCAGACCAGGGACCAACACACGCCCCGGGAGCTTCCCGGGCCGCTCGGGCGGGAGCATCCGGGGAGTGGCAGTCGGTAGCCAGGTGCTCCTTGCATCAAACTTGCTCGCTTCCCAAGCCCCTGCGAGTTCTCGAAGCAGAACGTCAAAGCACGAACGCGGTCACACAAAAGATGAAAGGTAGCGACTTGAAACACGGCGTAAAAATCCAAAGACGACCCCAGGGCACAGCCTGCTCTCACCGCACCACCAGGGATGGAGTGGGAGCGGGGACAGAGCAGGACGAGGTTTATGTTGGACATTCAGAATAATTTCTTCACAGGAAGCGTGATTAGACATTGGAATGGACTGCCCTGGGAGGTGGTGGAGTCACGGTCCCCGGAGATGTTTAAGGAAAGACTGGACATGACACTCAGTATCGTGGTCTAGTTGACAAGGTGGTGTTCGGTCATAGGTTAGACTTGATGATCTCAGACGTCTTTTCCAA